CAGGCCCCACTTTTTAAGGATTCCACACTACCACACTGGGAACCAAGCCTCCAGCACCTGAAGCTCTGGGGAACGTCGATAACATTCAGGTTCTGAGTTCGGACAAGAAGTGGGGGTTGCCTGTCAGTGGTGGTACAATTAGTCAAAGCACTCGGGAAGCAGGAAGATCTCTGTGATTTTGAGGCAAGCCTAGTCTACAGAGTGAGTTCCAGGACAGCCAGGGCTACACAGAGAAATCCTGTCTCAGGAAAGAGAGAGTAGAGGCCAGGGAGAAACCCTGTGTTCTGGGTTGAAGACCATAGTTTCATGGTAGAGCTGTTGCTTATTCGAAGCCCAAGTTTTCTTCTCAGCACTACAGAACAAGAAGATTAATGTGTTCTTTCCCTCAGGGATGAGAGAAGGTAGAGTTGATGAGGTCCATAGACACAGAAGCTTGGGCACATTGCCTGTCTTCCCTTAGTCTATCTGTTGGAGTTTCCTTTTAAGAAACGGGATCCTGTGGAAGAGATCAGGTCGCAGGAAGGATTACATCTAGATACAGGGGCAACTTCAGGCCTCCCTACTGGGTGGGTGTGTTTTGCTTTGAGACTGGATCCATTATGTAGCTTTGGCTGGCCTGGAACTGGCTCTGCACACCAGGCTGGCCTTAAACTCAAAGGTCTGCCTGCCGCTGGGCATTGTGGCACACACCTTTAATCCCAGCACTCGGGAGGCAGAGGCAGGTGGATCTCTGTGAGTTTGACATCAGCCTGATCTACAGAGCTAGTTCCAAGACAGCCTCCAAAGCCACAGAGAAACCCTGTTTTGAAAAACAAAAAAACAAAAACAAACAAAAAAACAAAAAAAGTGAAGTTCCAATTGACACCTGCCTGGGAAATCCTTGGCCTCCTGTTTTGCCCATTCTTCAGACCATCAAGGGTTCTCTCAGAAGAGCGGCAGAATTAGCAGGGAAGATGAAATTTGCATTTGCCATATGTTACATGCTGGGCACTGTATTTTGTTTGCTACCATATTGAACATTTTAATTTAGCAAATTTATCACATAAATTTTAATAATTAAACATTGCTTACTAGGCCTGAAGAGGTGGCTCAGTGGTTAAGGACACTGACTGCTCTTCCAGATGACCGGGGTTCAAATCCCAGCACCCACATGGAAGTTTAAAACTAAACTCTGGTTCCAGGGGATCTGACATATTCATACCAATGCACATAAAATAAAAATAAATTATTAAAAGCATTGCTTACTAATATTACAATCAATAGTGTATTTCATTACATGTATACTCTATTATAAACCTATCTTTATATATTCTATTAACTTTTTCCTTTTATTGTTGAGATTATAATATCATCACATTATTTCTCCCCTACGTTCCCTCCCTCAAAACCCTTTCATATACCCCACCTTGCACTTTTTCACATTCACGGACTATTTTTACATAAATTGTTATCATATGCATATATGTATGTACATATATTCCTAAATGTGACCTGTTCAATCTGAATAATATTACTTGTATGTATGTTGTAGGGGTGACCATGGGTATTGGATAACTAATGTACTCTGCTAGAGAAGATTTCTCCCACTCTCAGCATCCCTTAGTTGCCTTTAATTCTTTTTTTTTTTAAAGATTTATTTATTTATTATGTATACAACATTCTGCCTCCATATATGCTTGCACGCCAGAAGAGGGCACCATATCTCATTACAGATGGTTATGAGCAACCATGTGGTTGCTGGGAATTGAACTCAGGACCTCTGGAAGAACAGTCAGTGCTTTTAACCTCTGAGCCATCTCTCCAGGTCCTGCCTTTGATTCTTGTGTAAGGCTGAGACCTTGTAGGCTTTCCCTCATCCATTCTGGTATGTCTAATGTGTCGTCTTTGTTCTGCTCATGCATACACACGAGAGAGAGAGAGAGAGAGAGAGAGAGAGAGAGAGAGAGAGAGAGAGAGAGA